CTCAGGCTGGTCTCGAACTCCTGACCTTGAGTGATCCTTCCGCCTCAGCCTCCCCGAGTGCTGGGATTACAGGCGTGAGCCACTGTGCCTGGCCTAGAACCAAGAAATAATTCTTTAAAGATAAAGATTTGGTTTCCTGTAAAATAAAATGATAGAACTTTCTCACTGTTTGAAAGGTTGAAAGGATCGTCCCCTCTTTTATAAACAGTCCTAAATTTGTAGATATATGGGTTATCTCATTTCTCCATTGAAACACTATGAGAGTTTCCTACACCAGTCAAAGAAGCTCGTATAATCCATAAGTAGCTGAACTAAAGTTCTCATAGTTCTGAGTGTTGTGAATTTTGAATCATTGAAATTATGTCTTCCCTTTGTTATCATACCAATTATTTCTAGATTCTCATCTAATCATAGGTAAAATGAAATGGGTAGGTTTCTTTGCCTTCCTTTCCATGTCCCCTTTGTTGGGCTCTGGAAACCACATGTTACTATGAAGGACCTGATCCCATTGGGCCTATAAACTATGAGTTGTGAAGATTTCTGTTGTTTCCTATGTAATGTTTTTTAATGTTTTTGTAATGTTATCTAACAGGCTGGTTATAAGAAAAAATTATGGAAGAAGACACCTGCAAGAAAAAGACGCTTGAGGGAATTTGTGTTCTGTAATAAAACCCAGAGTAAACTCTTAGATAAAATGACAACGTCTTTCTGGAAGAGACGAAACTGGTATGTTGATGATCCTTATCAGAAATATCATGATAGAACAAATCTGAAAGTATAGATCAGAAGTTTTATGATTTCCCACTTATTAAATAAGATTCTATGCATAATGATGTCTTTGCATAAATGAATAACTATAAAATCTGATGTAAATTGTATCAATTAATATGTAAATGTACAATGCCAACATTAAACTTATGAAAGTTTTGAAACTTAATGCTTTTCCTTATAGTTTCTGCTCCCTCATAATAACTATAGCTTGTACCTTTGAGGTTCTTTTCTCATCAAGATCCTCAGCTCCTCTTTCCAGTCTCTAATTGCCAAGAGACTCCAACTGGGCCAGCATACTTTTTTACATCAGGTCTCATCAGTGTCATTGTCCATAGTTTATTAGAACAAGATTTTTTTACAGAAAAGTAAATGAATCCACTCATGTTGATGAACACTTGGGTTGATTCCACGTCTTTGTGATTGTGAATTGTGCTACAATAAACATTCAAGTGCAGGTGTCATTTTGATAAAATGATTTTTTTTTTTACTTTGGGTAAATACCCATTAGTGGAATTGCTGGATCAAATGGTAGGTCTACTTTTAGTTCTTTGAGATATCTCCATACTATTTTCCATAGAGCAAGCAGGTGGGAGAGGGAGGGAGGGAGGGACAGGTAAATGCACACCTAATGGGTACAATTCGCACGATTTTGGTGATGGGTACACATATATTATAACTTTGACTTAAACTGCACAAAAGCAAATCATGTAACCAAAATGTTTGTACCCTGTAATATTCTGGAATTAAAAAAAAAGAAGAGTAAATGAAATAGCCTTTCAGTATGCCCACTCAAGAAACAGAAGAGGGCCGGGCGCGGTGGCTCACGCCTATAATCCTAGCACTCTGGGTGGCCGAGGCGGGCGGATCGCTCGAGATCAGGAGTTCGAAACCAGCCTGAGCAAGAGCGAGACCCTGTCTCTACTATAAATGGAAAGAAATTAATTGGCCAACTAATATATATAGAAAAAATTAGCCGGGCATGGTGGCACATGCCTGTAGTCCCAGCTACTTGAGAGGCTGAGGCAGGAGGATTGCTTGAGCCCAGGAGTGTGAGGTTGCTGTGAGCTAGGCTGACGCCACGGCACTCGCTCTAGCCTGGGCACCAAAGTGGATACTCTGTCTCAAAAAAAAAAAAAAGAAAAACAGAAGAGGCTATAGAAGTGAAGACAGACTTTTTACCCAAATTTTGAAAGACATGTATTTCTTAAAAGTTTATCCACTTGAGATTTCATATTTTCATTTAAAAACTTTTCCAAACATTTAAACTTTTTCCAAAAATTTCCAAAAATGCATTGTGGAAACTAAGGAGGAAAAGTAATCTCAATCATTTTAGAAACGATGCAAGAGTTAGGTATTGTTTACTTGAAGAGGGGCAGGTAAGAGGTATTGAGTAAAATTCAGTTGAGTGGTTACAGTCTAGAGCAGTGGTTCTCAGAATCATCTGGGAAGCATTTTCAAACAGCAGAGCACTTTGCCTGGTTGAAAACCATTATTTTAATGTAGGTTCATGTAGGTAAAAAAAATTTAAAAAATAAAAAGAAAACCATTATTAGATATAATTATGCATGAATTACTGTTTCAAATCCTTTAATACAATAAATAGTTGATGATAATAAGATAAAGTTCCTCTATTGTTAATAGAATAAGGTAAAAGATAACCAAATGGAAGTTCTGTGGCATAGCAGGCTAGGATTTTTAGAGGGATTCCTTGAAACTAGTGTTTCCTTCATTAAAAGGAAAAGAGGTAACAACAGAATGTTCTACAACCAGAAGGCCAAGTGTGTGTCTGTTTAAGGGACTAAGTAATAAAGAGCAGACATCTAATTTGAGGTAAAAACCTGAAACATGAAATGGCATTCTGTCTTGATGGGGTTTCATCACTTTGCACTTCTGAAATGGCCAAAGCCAACCACTTCCATGTTTATTCTCACTTGCCTGGCTCCTGCCCTCTGATGCCCCGCTGGCAGTGGGATGGAATTGGCGCCTGCAGAAGGAGGAGGTCACTTTCCCACAGCCTCCATGACTTCTTTACTACAAATATGGATGACAGAGTCTCTTACAGGGGCCTCAGAGCCCAGGGACAGGAGAGGTAGAGACACGGACTGGCAACCAGGACCTCAGCATCCAGAGATGGACTGAAGTGGGAGGGCTGCCAGGCACATGATTAAGGGGGAAGGAAATTTTATACATACAATTTTTGTTTTGTGGGTAGAAGGGCTTATCATCAACACTGATTTATAGTTTGACAATAAAACATTGCATTAAAGAGTCTACCTAAGTGATATTCAAGTATATATATAAAATGTATAAAGTATATGCATAGCTTATTTATGCAAGTATATATATAATTTACTGAACACTTACTATGTCCCAGCATATCTACAAAACTGGGCTTATATCTATAAAACTGTTAATCCTCATAAGCTTGCAAGAGGAGATATGATTATTTATCCCTAGATTAGATTTGAGGAAACTGAAGCTTAGAGAAGGTTAAATAAATTACCCAAAAATACAGCTACTGGCGGGGCGCGGTGGCTCATGCCTGTAATCCTAGCACTCTGGGAGGCCGAGGCGGGCGGCGGATTTGTGCGAGGCTCAGGAGTTCAAAACCAGCCTGAGCAAGAGTGAGAGACCCATCTCTACTATAAATGGAAAGAAATTAATTGGCCAACTAAAAATATATAGAAAAAATTAGCCGGGCATGGTGGCACATGCCTGTAGTCCCAGCTACTCAGGAGGCTGAGGCAGGAGGATCGCTTGAGCCCAGGAGTGTGAGGTTGCTGTGAGCTAGGCTGACACCACGGCATTCACTCTAGCCTAGGCAACAAATTGAGACTCTGTCTCAAAAAAAAAAAAAAAAGTACAGCTACTAAGTCCTAGAACCACAATCTAACTCCTTGGGATCCTGTGTATTTCCCTCAGTCTTCTAACAACATGAAAATTCTTATCTGAATCAACAAATGACTATAATCTAGCACTGTATAAATACTAAATATTTCTTCATAATACTGTGCCAACTCAGCTTTTAATTTTTTTTTTTTTTCTTGAGACAGAGTCTCACTTTGTTGCCAGGCTAGAGTGAGTGCCGTGGCATCAGCCTAGCTCACAGCAACCTCAAACTCCTGGGCTCAAGCAATCCTCCTGCCTCAGCCTCCCGAGTAGCTGGGACTACAGGCATGCACCACCATGCCCGGCTAATTTTTATATATGTATTAATTGGCCAATTAATTTCTTTCTATTTTTTTATAGTAGAGATGGGATCTCACTCAGGCTGGTTTCGAACTCCTGACCTTGAGCAATCCGCCCTCCTCGGCCTCCAGCAGAGGTGCTAGGGATTGATAGGGCGGGTGAGCACCGCACCTGGCCTAAATTTTTTTTAATTTCAGCATAATATGGGGGTACAAATGTTAAGGTTACATACATTGCTCTTGCCTTCCCTCCCCCCAGCTTTTAATTTTTATAACTTTGCTTTCCTCTTCTTTATCAACTCTTAATGTGGTTAATCTCAGTTCTGTTGACATTGGACCTGGCTCAGTACATGCATAAATGAATGGATTTCCAGCCTTTCTTTCCATCTCTTCTTCCTTTTAGTCCTCTGAATCTGCTTTTTCCTGCTGCTGGTTTATTTTATAGTCATGTCAAACACACTGAATATAAAAGCAAAGAAAATGGACCTGTGTTTAATTTTAATATTTCAAATTCTGAACTTCTAGTTTTTGTGACCACCCAATGAAGCTTGAGTGTACCTGTTCAGATTTTAAAGGCAAGGCCTGCTGTAGGTTTAAGGGCACCCCTTCTCCGCAGTGGGCCTGTACATGCACCACCTTGTTCCAACCCACATAGGTACACCCCCATTTGCAGAAGAAAAAATGCTCAGAGTAAAGTTAAATGTTGGACCAAAGGTCTGTTTGCAGAATTAAAACTGCCCACCAATGAACTACTGTATTTTCACAGCTACCCAGTTTCCACTGATGATCTTTTAAAATATAAAAGATATTTTTTACAGATCAGATACCTGATACTTTCAGGTTTATATTTGTGTTACGAACTGGTTTTCAAAACACTCATATCATTTAATTTTTTCCCCCTCCCAACAATCCTATGCAATAGGCATGGGGCCAAGTCACCAGGCCAGTTAGTGGCTGAGCACTCAGCTTCTAATCCTTGCCACCTTCCACATTTTTTAAAAAAGTATTTCCTCTTTCTTTATAAGCCCAACATTACAAAGATTTTTTTTAAAAGAAAAATGTTAAGACTTTATTCAAGATGTATATCAGGCATTATAACAAAACAGCAGAACTGCAACCTTTGGAATACTGTAATTTTACATCCCTTTGATGCACAGTCCAGTATACTATTTTATTACAGATCGTTCTATAGGGACTACAGAAAGAAACTAGAGGAAATGTGCACAGTCACGATCCAGAATGTCAGCACTTTGTATGCTGTTAGAGAATGAAGCACATCCTTGCCATTTCAAATACTGTGCCGGGTGAAGGACTAGGAAGGCTCGATGAAGGTCACGGTGGACAAGCACTCTTATCACAAACACATGGACACTTTACTACGGAGAACACACGTTTCAAAGGCCAGTGAAGTGAGCAAGCTATTCACACAAAGCCAGGAGGGATTATGACTAAACTCTTCAGTTTATAAGCACACGACCATGTCTCACCTCCTCAGAACCAGAAAGGGTGCTCAATGGCAATTAACTAAAAGTTAGGACGTAAAAATTACAGACTTTCAAGCTAGCATTTTGTAAACAGTCAGTGTCTGTAAGTCAGCAAATTAAAAACATTCAGTTGTATCCTCTAGACAACACCACACAACTACATGTACACTTACAGGTATTCACATTTTATGTCAGTTCATACACAAATATACAGCTTGTCAGATAAGTAAACACATTTTGCCAGAAGTATGACAGCTGCTTGCAGTTGTACAGTGAGTGTCTTTAAGAGAGAAACCAACTCCCTGCTCAACACTTGAAGGAAAAATAGTTACATGTACATTAAGACAGTGTTTGGATAGCTTTATATTTTTTAACCTTGAATGAGATTAATAATACACATGTCTGAGAGTAGAGTGCTTCAAACTTTTTTTGGCATAGTTGAGTGCAAACTTGATAGCCTGTACTTATTATAACTTTCCATTGTAAAATGAAAATGTAGCTGTTCACAATAGGATTTTAAACTCTGCTGCTAACGGCATTTATTATTTTGGCAAAAAGTTGCTATGAAGCTGCTTAAGCTTTTTTGCACTTGTTTCTGAGAATTCTGGGTACTTCCAACTAACAGGTAAATACATTTTAAAAAGTTTATTATTCCTCTGTCTAGAACTATTCAGTGAGCTTAAAGAAAACAGATTTTCTGTCTCCCTTCAAAGGTTTAGGAATTGGTGTTGGAGGGGCACAGACAATGAGACAGCCTCAGTTTGCTGTCTCAGCCACAGATTTGCTTTTAGGCTTATTTCCCATATCCTGTTGTAAATTACAAAATCACCTTCGGAGGAACTGTGGGAAGAAAGGATTTCAATATGCATATCTGGCAGCAATCAACTTTAAATAAAACTCTTTCTGAGGTGGCTAAGAGCTAGCTAATGTGTCATCAGCAAAGGCCACTGATAGTATGTATCGCTCAGTAATGGACCAGTTTTTAATTGGGCCTGTTTACAGTTTGTTGACATTAAGTTCTGTGTGGTATAAAACACTAATTCTCTAGTCTTCAGGGCATATCTACAAACAAACACGATCCAAATACTAGAAGTAACTGGGTTGTGACCACTGCATGCATTACACTGAAAGAAAACACCAACTCTAAGCACAAATACACTATTCTTATATTTCAGCTGTCAGAGGGGAGAACAGCTACCTCAGACCACAGCACCATTTAAACCAGATTCTTTTCAAAGGAAATTGTCAACCTAAGTAGGCAGACCCCTCAGACAGTGCTTTATTCCCCTACTAAGCAATCCGGACTGTGTAAGACACCCCATAAGACCTACAGTGCCCATGGGTGTGAGTCCGTCCCCATTCACATTCTGCACAGGTCAGCAAGGAACAGGTGTGAACCACAGCTGCCCATGGATCTAAGCAAAGTCTTAGCCATAAAGATCTCAACCTCTAGAACCATCCTAGGCTGCACAATTTTGGTTGTTACACATGTATATCTCAGATGTATTTCATAGCATATCTGAAATGGCAGAGTTCTCTGTGTTTTTTTTGTGTTTTTTCTTTGTTTTTGCTTAGTGGTCTCTAAAACAAAGTGCTTAGATTGTAGGCTCCTCTACCTGGGGAAGCTAGTCACAGCACTGGTCACTATGAAGGAGAAATAATCATTTGCCACATACTTTTGAAACAAAATTATTCCTCCAACAGCTCTGAAAGTCCCCATCCCCAAGAAGTTTGGTCAAGGGTAAGCCGCCTGCCTAAGGCAACATTAAATCCATAGAAAGGATTCAGAAGCTCCTAATCCTGAATCAAAGGAGATGAGCTTCCTGTGACTTACCTAGGTGTTTCCCCAACCTATCATCACACTCAGCTAACTTCATTCCTAACTTCTCTGGTTTTTTGACTAAACAACTATCTGAAGAATATGGAGCATCTTCCAGCAGGAAAAGGGATGTGTTACTGGAGTTGTATTTGGAAGCTTTATAAGCACATCTGAGACGTTCTCTAGAATCAAATATTTTTATATATTTCTGGTTTTGCAGTTTTCTTACATATCAGAACCTCTGGCAGCCCTTGCAAGTCCATTATATTAAGCCAAAAGCCATAAATATGTACATCATAGTTCAAAGTATTAGTAGCAAGAACAAAAAACGTTTTAAAAAATTGCATTTACAGGACTAAAAACTAAGTATGCAACAGATAAATTACAAATGTACATCTCAGCAGCATAAGGGTGATTCTCTTATATTTCTGAAAACACACTGCTGTCTATAATGACAATCCAATTGTGGAAAATTACTAACCTCAGAAGACTTAAAGGGCACCCCCCCCACTACCTTTTCCTTTAGCCTCTCCTCAACAAAATAAAAGAAAGGGGGAAAAATTCTTAAAAGTGGAAGAGGGGAGAGAGAAAAGGCTATGTCTGTGAGGCTGCACACTCAAAGCACACCCAACTTGCGGATTTCTATGTTATTAGTGAATAGCTCTTTAAGGCAGAGAAGAAACATTCTGTGGATCCGGTGCTGTTGGCTCATCTCACTCACGTGGTTTCTGTGGCCGAGGATGAGGTACTTTTCTTCCTGAAGCGAGATCGAGGGATTCTAGGAGGTGCCTGGTAGAGAAAACAAAAAGAAAGGCATCCCTCAATTTGGCATAAATGTGGAATTTTTAGAGGACAACACTTGGAAGGGATTTTGTATCCAGCTCCTTTGGCCAAACGCACACGTGTGTGAGGCAGCTGGCTGGGGCTGGGGTCTCCCTGAGTCTCCACAACAGGAATCAAACACCAGAGTCACATCCCATGCACCCCTGTGAAACTAAGCCCATCGAAAAGGCTAACAGCTTCCTCTTGGCTTCATAGTCTCCTACATCTCAAGAGCTCCCAAGGGAACGCTTGTGCAGAAGAATGACGCATCTTTCTTATTTTTATGCTGGGAGCACAATGATCTTAACAAATGACTCAGCAGAGAGAACTGCCTCCCCATCTCTTCCCTTACTTTTGTTATTTTCTTTGGGAACTGGTCTCATGTGTCTTGCTACATGCTCCAAATTTCCATTAAGAAATTTCCAGTCCCCTTTCTGGATGTGAAAACCTTTAAATGCACAGCAAACAACACCACAGAAGCAAACACTGTCTTTAGTATCCCTTATCCGAAAAGCTTAGAACCAGAAGTGTTTCAGATTTGAGATTTTTTTCAGACTTTGGAATATTTGCACATACATACCAATTGAGTACCCCAATCTGAAAATCTGAAATCTGATGCTCCAGTGGGCATTTCCTTTGATTATCATGTCAGTGCTCAAAAAGTTGTAGATTTTTTGGATTAGGGATACTCAATCTGTGTAAAAGGTTCCACCTCATTTCCTCCACAAATGACTCTCAAGGAACCCCTCCCCTTCCATGGGATACACAGGTCACAGGAGGAGTTATTATTACAATGAAAGAAAAGGAAAAGCTTCTTAGCATAGCACTCAAGGGGGTTCACACAACCAGCTCCAGCCTGCCCTCAACCACTGTCTGTCCATTGTTATACAGATAACTTCTTTCTCTACAATGTGTCCTTTCATATCTCTGTTCCTTCTGACAGAGATGGAAGCCCTTCCATTTCTCATCTGTCTTGAATATTTCTAGTCTTACCAAGGACCCAGCTTAAAGTCACTTCTGCCAAGGTTTTCCTAAGCCCTTTGTGCTACTGCCCAGACGCACACAACCAGGCTTCATCACCTCTTTTGTCTTCACACCATGCTTTGTAGCAGAGAACCTTGCACCTGTGAGGTGTGCATTCTCTGCTCACTGTCTCCCCACCAGACTAGGAGCTTCCTGAGGGCAGGCCCGTGTCACATTCACCACCATTTCCTGGTGTCTGGCTCAGTGACAAACAGGCACAGCAAAGGGAGGGAGTGGATGAACTAGAGCATTAGTTCCCAGCCTTTTGGGCATCAGAGACCAGTTTCATGGAAGACAAGTTTTCCACGGACTAGGGAGATGGGGTGGCAGTGGTTTCAGGATGATTCAAGTGTGTTACATTTATTGTGCAGTGAAACCTCTCTGCTAATGATCATCTGTATTTGCAGCCACTCCCCAGCACTACCATCAACACCTCAGCTCCACCTCAGATCATCAGGCATTAGATTCTCATAAGGAGTACACAACCTAGATCCCTCGTGTGCGCAGTTTACAGTAGGGTTCACGCTCAAAAAACAAAAACAAAATAGCACAAACCCTTGGGCCCTGGAATGTTTTAGGATGGGCTCCTGTTCCTATCATGGCTGTCCAGGCCATAATGCCCAGACGGGACTCCTCCAGTAGTGTCCAAGCTCAGAACATCTTACCCCAAACCCTCTAACTTCAAAATTGACCCACGCGTGCCTTGCCTTGGAAAGGAATCTGATGACCTCCTGCATGGGGAGGTGGTCACAACTGCTGTCCTAAATCTAACAGGAATGCTAGCCCCTGCATAGGGGAACATTTCAATGCATCTCCCCTGAGTCTCACAGGGGTCTCTACTCTGTGGAAAGAGGACTCCCAACTCGCCTCACCTGCCCTCTCAGGCCGTAGTAGTCAGCAGATGGGGAATAGGAGAGGAGGCCTTAGGGGGAAAGAGGAAGACTCTGGGGTCCCCAGTTCTGTTGGCCCTGCACCTGAGCCCATGACTGGTGACTACCTGCCCACATCCCAGGAACAAAACCCAGAAGGCTCCAGGCTCAGCCTTCCTGTTGCCAAAACTCTACCATATATACAACCGACAATAGTACATATATGAAGCATACTGTTTTTGGTAACTTTAAAGAGCTGTGCCCCTTTAATAACACTTTTGAATAGCTACTTTGTACCAGGTGCTATGCTAGCTCTTGCAGATACAGTGATGAACAAGCCTTATAAAAACTTGTCAAATTGCACATTCTGGGGTTTTCTTCCCCTAAAACACTCATTTGGGTGGCTTTTCACTTGCACATCATCTTAGGTTAGGAGTTGTTAATATTTGGGGGTAAAAACTAACAGCAATAAAGCCCTAGACACTTTACCACGTCTATTTCTAAATGAAATTAGTAAGGTCTTTCTTCCCCTCTTAGCAAGAGGCTGGATGCTATGTAGTAGTTTGTCCCGCCTGCTTGATGGAGGGAGATCTTTCCATCCTAGGTACTCGGGAGATGCTGGATGCCCTGAGAGATGCTGCTCCCAGGGCCCCCAGATCTCTGGGGCAGAGCCCCTGGGCAAACACATGCTCCAACCCACAGCCCCAGACACCGTGTACCTCCAGGGGCAAATCCGTCCTCCGAGGTGCCTTATACTTGTACATGAAATCCAGCAGGTCTTCCTCCTCCTCGTCAGAAAACGCCAATGGTTTTTGGACCTGGTGAGGCTCCCATGCTTTCATACCACCCTCATGCACATCTCCCTCAACCACTTAATGTCCATTACAATCTACACAGAGGAGACAAAGTACAGCAAGAGGGATCAGTGTAGAAAGGGGCAAGGAAGGGCAAGGTTAGGCACACAGCACGACAAGCCAGGCCTGTTAGGATAGCCAAGGCCCCTGTGTCCAAAGAAGCACTCACATCTTTAGGGTCTCCCTGCAGGGGGTCTGGGATGTGAAAATGCAGTTGTAAGACTAGCCAGGCACTATGCATAGAAACAACCACAGGCTCAGAATCTATCAAAAGGATACCAAGGCGGTGGCAGAGAGGCACTTCCTTGGGAGAACAAAGAAGCTGCCTTAGAACTGAGACATGTCAAACCTTGCAACTTAGACCTGCGATTCCACACCAGAAGAATGCTTAAATGCTCTGCGATTCCACACCAGAAGAATGCTTAAATGCTCTGCGATTCCACACCAGAAGAATGCTTAAATGCTCAGGGAAAGAATCTTCTCTGGAAAGGATGGGGCAATAATTTCGAGGTAGGAAGCACAGTTTCTACATTATGCATACAAGCAGTGTTGACAGTGCATTATACTTGCATATTCAGCTGCAAGCATTCTTACAGGATGTAAAATGCCAGGAAACCTCAAGGGATAACCTTAAGCAAAGCTATGTAGATTTTTCATTTCAAAGCCTTAGTTCTAGAGAGGCAGAGGAGCCTAATGGAAGGAGAACCTGATAGTAGCCTCTGCCAGAAAAACTGACAGCAAGATTCCTATTTCAGCATGCCTTGAATAAATCCACAGGAAAAGCTTCAGAATTAATTCATCTCACTGAATGCATAGTATTTTAAAAATATTAAATGCTTGTGTCTTCTAAAAAATGCTAGGTGTAGGAATAAAAAATAAAATAAAATAAAAATATATTAAATGCTAATGCATATTCCATGCCATCTGGCCAGGTGGCTCTATCTTAGTTGAGATGTAAAATATTTTCTGCCTGTACTTGGCTTATTTAACACACACACACACACACACACACACACACACACACACACACATGATCTTTCCATGCTTCATATATTATTTTTACCCAGCATCACAGAATGCAGAAATAGGAGGCCCTCAAGTCATCTGGTCCAACAACCCTGAGGTCTGTAGATAGAAACCTGGGCTCTTCTTGGGACACTCTGCTACTGCTCCTAAGAACATGTTCAGCTACCAAATGTGCACTCTCCATCAATAGTGGACCCACTAGACTATAACAGCACAAGCGTGGATTTAAACTTAATAACTGAACCCTAATCTTAAGCAGCTTTGCCAGTTACTGCTGCTGTGCTCTGCAACAGCCAGCAGGAGGCAGCACGACAACACGGTTGCCTTAACAAGACTCAAAACAATTGCAGGCTGGGGAGTGATCTGCTCAGATTGTGTCTTAGAAAGGGCCTGAGATCATTAACTTTCCTTTGATTTTTCTTTTTATTTATTTATTTTTTAACTTTGTGCTTCCCCAGCACATATTTGCTCTGGGTTTGGGTTGTCCTTCCTCTGCCCAGTTCAGCTGCACCCTTAGTATCCTGTTAAACATGAAGAGCCCTCCCTGCTCTGAGACCCCAGTGGAGCTTGGAGCCTGTACAGCACAACGTGTGCTGTGTACCCTCAGCTCAACAGAAAGTGTCCTGAGGTCATGGGGCCGTGGCTGATCCTCCCTCGGTCCTTCTGGGCCCCGACCCAGGGCTGGGTACACAGTGGCTACTCATCCATTGAGTTCAATCCTGACATCATCTCAGAGAGCTCAGCTCTCGTCCCAAGTCAGAGTTCGACACCCATCAACCAGGAAGCTCCTATGGACACAGATACCTCTGGCCTAATAGGAGGTAAAAAGACCAAAAGCAAAGGCACAAACCGCCCAGCAGGAAAGCCCGCATCCGGAAAGTGGGTGGGAATTGGTTGAGTCTGTGCCTCTGCACATGCTGTCCCCTCTAATTCCCTTTTCCTGTACCGATCGTTGTGGGCTTCAGCAGGCAGCTCAGAGTCACCACAAGATCCATGGGCATCTGATAAGCCAGCCCATGCAGTCTGGATTCACTGAGGCTGAGCCATGAACTCACACATTACCAAAATCATCACCATCATCATAATCTCAGGAATAAAAGCAAAATGGCTTTGTGCGTGTTCTCCACTGTATCCTTGAGCAAGGACTACAGGGTAGAAAAGAAATGACCCTCTGGCCCACTGGGAGTGATGGGCCAAGGGGAACCCAGACATCCAGGCAGGAATGGAAACAAGTGCTCAGCTCAACAGAGCTGGGAGCAAAGGTGGCCAGTGTGGGCCTGAAGTAGCCTCAGACAGAAGCTGTAGAGAGAACCTCCTAAAAAGAGACGAACAGTTCAGGTCACTGTGTTCACTGAATGTTTTTGCCAAGAGTGTTTGCAACATTCCACCTTTTTCTCAGGACCAATGAGAATAAACATTCTGGACAAGCCAAGCCTCCAAGGCTCTGGTCGGCTATTGCACGGTGTACAAGAATCTCTTAACTAATTGTAATTCCCTGTTTGCAGTGGTTTCAAGGAAGCCTGGCATCTTTTGACAGTCTACACCTTGATAGCATGCATTTTAAATTTTATTCTCACCACTGACTGCATCTTACCTGCCCACTCCCTTTCTCCCAGATCCATTTTTCTTACTTTGACTCGATATATCATATATTTTCAGAAGTAGATTAACTCCTTTTTGGAACAGGGAGGAGTATAAATGGAGAAATAAACCCATAGAATACAGTTCCACTGAGAGGCCCCAGGATGAGAATGAGGGTGAGCAGCTGGGCAAAAAAGGGAGCAGTTGCCTCCTCAGTGTTCTTGTCCCTGTAGCTCTAAACAGAATGTGTGACTCAGGCAACAGCCCTGAAAGGGTGTTGCTGTCTTATGACTATTATGGCACTCAGAGACAACCTGTATGGGAGGAGGGTCTCCTATGCCAGGTCATAGCCACAACAACCTGCAAACCTCAGGTGACGGCAGCCTTGAGCCCACAGAGCTGCCACCGCATGCTCAAAGCTGGGTGGCCTCTGTTGGGAAAGGGTAGGGTCCCTGTTGTCTTCCACAGCAGGGGAATGGGGTGTGGCCTTGGCTGACATTTCCATATTAGCAAATGTGTCAGCAGGGCTATACAGCAGGCTGGGCCACAGGCTCCACCTCCTCTCTCTGTGGGGAGGGCAAGGAGGGGGAAACTGGCCAAGTCTCTAAGCCCTTTAAAGGCCTGCGCAGAGCTGCCAGCACTGAGCCTGGGGCCACCCCACCCCCACAGTGCAGCAGAACACCCCCCCGGTTAGCAGACACATCCCACACCGCACACAGTAGCAGCAGCATTAACGGGAGGCAGCAAACGTGTCTGAAGAAGAGCATGCCCGTCTGGAACACTTACATCCGTGTCCCCAGCAGCCACCGAGGAGAGAAAAAAAAAGAACATTCTGTTAGGGAAGGGGCTTTGGGGCTGAAACTCACACGCACGTGTGTGAGTGTGCATGCACACACACACCCCCATCCACACAGACACATGCATAATCCTACGCGCTCACGTGCACGCGCACACACTCACTTCCCATGCTCTAAACCTCAGACAGCTCCTCCTGCTCTGGTCAGAGGAAAGATACTGCCCAGGGGCCACACTCAGTAAAATGCAATTGTCTCCCTTTGAGAGCATGAAAGGCATGACCGCTTTTTAAAATTATGTTCCTCATACTTGATTTAAAAAGGAGGGGGCATCTCTACGACTAACCACAGGCAGTAATCCAGAGTTCAGCTCTATATTACAATCAAAGTAGGTAGAGAGAAAAGAGAGGCATGAGGGCAGTGGAGAGAGATAATAATAGAAACACAGAAAAAGAGACACAGACACGCAAGGAACAACAGGGAATCAACTGACGGAGGGGCAGGATGGAGCAGAGGTGGGGAGAGAATGGTCTCCTGGCATCTAAGACGCACACTTTAAAACTGTGGCTGACCCAGGGGTCTCTGAGCTCTGCCTCAGTGGCTGTCACTGCCCTGTGATGCACTCATTAGACTCTGAGATGCCCACCTTTGCTTTTCCCCACCCCTCATCCCAAATTAAGGCGTGAATTTACATCCCCTAGAAAATTTCCCTTTCTGCCCAGGGATCCTGGGGCTCTATGATGCCCCAGTAATAATCTGAATCTTCCCAGGCTCTGGCCTGAGTGTATCCCCGTGTGATATCATTTTAGGGGACCAAGAGAGAAGTGTCCCTGACACCCCTGAAATCCTGACCCATGGCATCGCTGCTTGAGAGTCGGCCTCCAGCCCCAGGCGCAAGACAAATCTCCCCCAATGTCATCTGCTGCCACTTTGCAGTCAGTATGCTTCCCTCACAGAGACTGTCAGAGCTGGGAGGACTGAGGGGCAGCCAGCCCAAACCCACCACCTTACAGAGGAGGGGGCTGAGGCCAGAGAGGGTCGGGGCCTTCCCAAGGCCACAGAGGGAAATGGTGAGATCAAGCATCACGTGGTTCCTTGTAAGCAGACCCCAGGGAGAATGGAGGGAGAACTCCAGGTACTGGTGTCAAGAAGGCCCTGGGAGAGGAAGAGGCCCAAGAAAGGGAGGGCTGGGGCCAAAGCTTCCAGGTCCTGAGGCCTGCACCGAGCCCCACTTGTGGCCCACTCCTCAACAGCCCCCCATCTCTGCAGCTCCCCTGCTCACTCTGGGATGAGGAACCAGAACGTCCCCCACTGAATACCGGACACATGTTTATGCACATGCAGCCTGTTCCTGTGGCCTTCCAAACAGACTTAATTCCTACAATTAACTGCAGTGCTATTTAAATGCATTGGAAATGTTGCCTGTCATCATGAAACCACCAGGAGTCACGGCAGGTGAAGGCTCTGACAGTAGCACAGATCACTGCCAGGAGGAACGAAGGGAGGAGAGGCCAGCTCTATGCTCCCTGGGCCCCCAAATGACAATCTACCAGAATGAGAGGCTTTCAGAATGGCTCACAGAATTTACAGACTCAAAACCATAAAAAGTAAATAGAAATCCCCGCAGTCACCTGGGGCCACTGGTACTGCACGGTCGTTTTCAATGAACTAGCATGTCCACCAGGCCAAGCGCTGGAAACAAGTGCACATGGCCCCTCCATTTCTGGCTTGGACCAGGAGACCCCACAGGGCCACACGCTGGTTAGAGTCAGAGCTGGGCTAGAAAGCTGGTCTCCACCTGCACCCCAGCTCAGGACTCCTCTGACCTCGGTTCACTCTGGCCTTATGGCCTCCAAAATCCCCAGATCTTCTATAGACCTTAAAAAGCTTAGCACTGAGAAGCCTTAAAACTAAAGAAATAGAGGGAAAACAGGATATTTCGTATAAGGCACTTTCCAGTCCTCCTGCTCACCACCAACGCGAGAGGGACATGCCATGCCACCGTGGCACCAGGGCTGGTGGCACAGGCAGCAGTGGGCACCACATGTGCCTTCCTCCCTCTCTTGACACCAGCAGGCAGGCTGCAGGCCAGGTATAGCCCCTCTCGCCTTCTGAGCCAAAGGCAGCTCCTCCATGGGAGAGCCAGGCAGGGTGAAAGGGCTCCCGATTAGCCCAGCACCCGCCTACTCCCTATCGTGTCTAGCTGGGGTTGGGCAAGCAGAGGAGCAGGTCAGGACAAAACAACGTGGCCCCACTGAGCAGGGAGGGCAGCAGCAGGGGTCCCTGACCAGACTGCCAGAGCTCCCCTCTCCTGGAAGGGCTCTGCCCAGGCTACAATCGTTGCCATCCTTCGCAGGATTATTGTGGCTATTATGGCTCTTTCGTGGCCACTTTCATAACAGCGTAGTGAAATGGGGGAAGCAGGGATCTTTATCTCCATTTTAAGATGAGGAAACCGAAGCTCAGAGTAGTTAGGTGAATCACGCAAAGTTGCACAGCTAGTAAGTGGCAAAGCGGGACCAGGGCTCCCTTGGCTACACCAAAACCAGAAAGCCCTGGAATTGCAGGGCTTGGTCATCTCAGGGGACCTTGGTAAGCTCCCAGGTTCATCATCACCTAGAGCACATGGAAGTATAACCCTACTATGGTGGTTTTCAAATATCTCTACACATTCTTTGATACTCCTGCCTTCAAGAAGGGAAGGTTAATTCCCACCCCCCTTGAGTGTGAGCTGATCCCGATGACTCACTTCCAAGAAACAGAATAAGGCAGAAGTGGCGGGTGTGACTTCAAAGCCTAGGTCATAAAAGGTCCTGTGCTTCCTGTCTACTCTCTCTTGGATTGCGTACTCTGGGCCATGCCACCTGCCATGTTGTAAGGACACTCAAGCAGTCCCAGAGAGGTCCACATGGTAAGGAACTGAGGCCAAGAGCCATGAAAGGCCCATCTTGGAAGTGGGTCCTCCAGCTCAGGCAAGACTCCTGATGACTAAGCCTGGCCGAAGTCTTGACTGCAACCTCTGAGGGACCCTGAGCCAGAAACGCCAGGTTAAGCCACTCCCAAACTCCTCGCCCACAGAAACCATAAGAGAATACGCTTGCTGTTTTAAGGGGTCAACCTTCTGGCCCCTCCATGACCATGCAGCTGAAAGGGAGCCCCAAGGTCAGTGCCAGCTCTTGGTTAGAACCCGCTCCCGAGGTGAGCGCCCAGCACGCTGCAGAGGTCGGCCGCCTACTCACCTTTCCGGGTCCTGCAGGTGGAGCAGCAGGTACACACTGTGGGAACGGGGTGGGGCACCATCAGTGACACCCCCCCACTCGACAGAAACCAGTCACAGGCAAACAAGGAGGCCTCAGTGAGATGCAGGGATCCCAGTGTGTACAATATAGGGGTCCCAGGAATGTGGGTGTCTGTAGAGACACCAAGGTATGGGAGGGGACCATCTCAGCTTCAGCTTCCTCTCAGGTGCCAGGAAACACCCTCATCTGGCTGCATCCTGCAGCCCTAGGGAAGGCCGGAGATGGGATCAAAGTTTCCTCTGGGAAGTAACTCCAACCACCCCTGCCCACAGCCTCCTCCTCTCCTCTGTGCCTTCCAGTTCAGACTGTCCTCCAGGACACCTCCTCAGGCGGACCTTGGAACCCCGAGTGGTTGGCGTCTGGACATCTGGCCAAAGGCCTAACTGGCTGCTGCTTTGCACACTCTATCGGTCTTCATGCACATCTAGGCTTTGGTATATAGTAGGTGCTCACTAAAAACATGCTCACTGAATGATTCCAAGTCCATGGAAGGCCAGGATCACTCTTTCAACTCCCTTGGTACCCTGCCAAGTGTCCAGTGGTAGGTGTCAGTGGTAGGTGTCAATGGATGGTGTCTAAGTACCTTCTAGTTCATTCTGCAGGGAGGGAAAGGTCAGTTCCTGCCTGCCCTGACCCTTCATGGAAGGAGAACTCCAGCCAGGTGAGAGGGTCAGGTCAAGTGCACTGCCCAGCCCCACCCTGGGTACTGAAGGCAGCAGGGAAGAACTATGCTTCCCTGTCTCCAACGTCCAACCCTGTGTCCTGCTCAGACTACAGGTGGGGGCCTTTGTGTGCCAGGCATAAGGTGGCCATGCCAGGTGGGGGCAGTGACAGACCATGTGTCTGCCTGCCGGGAGCTTATAGAGCTCAGTAACCATTCAGGGACAGTTCTGTGCCTTCTTCCTCCCTTCTTCCTTTGCTTGCTTCGTCCTTCCTTTCCACGAGATGCAGACAGTTGAGTGGACCTCTCTTCTCAGTTCACAGCAAATGGGGGCCTCACTGGTTCAAGGGGCCCCCTCTCACCTTTTATGCACACTGGCGTGACTTTTATCCTCACACCCCACCCACATTCTCTTTCTTCCTCAAGGAGCAGTGGTTTTACTATTATTTCAATGTGAAACTTTTTGTTTAAATGTGTTCTTGCAATGATGTTATTGTTATTCTGCATGGTAGGCATATATTTTTATTTTACATAAAATCCCCTGTTTCATACTTTTTTCTCTAGGTATCATGTCTTCATGTTCCACCTGTGTGTATATTTAATCTGTTGCTTCCTATGGCTGCACAGAGCTCCATGGGCTGCAGGTTGTCTCTCTCCCAGGTTGTCTTCAACTCCTGCTACGTGTCCAGGGCTTGTAAATTATCGTGTTTGCTCTACTAGCAACCCTAAGACACACGCTGAATAGGGATTGACTCCTTTTTCAAAGGAGAAAGCTGAAGGGAACTGGGTCTGTTTTCTGTGCCAAGTTCAAATCCTCTAGTAGTGGATTTGAAAAGTTGCACTCAGAAAAGTTCTAAGGCTGAGTCTAGGCCCAGCAAGAAGTGTGGCAACTATTTAATGGCATCTGCCTTGCTGTGTTGCATGTGCTGTGTCTGCACAGGCCAGTGTCATGGTGTCACCTAGCCAGGATGGAGTCCAGTACCCTCCCCTACTCTGGGGCCTTCGCCTACCTGACTAGGCCTGGAGCCTGAGGCCCACGGCGGCAGGGCTGAGCTGGGAAGGGCACAGCAGGCCTGTGTGAGTCTGACCCAGGCGCTTCCGCCCTTCACCCAAGCCCTGGGCCATCTCTCACCTCTTTCTTTCTGAGATGGCTTTTATTTTAGGCCTCAGAGCAGCTGGGGAGGGTGCCACACCGCTCCTGGCCTCCCTGCTGGGTCGGCACCTCCCTTCTCTGCCCCCTGAAACCACAGGTGCTGAGGCCAAGGGCGGGGCAGTGAGACGGCCTGAGCTCAATGCAACACACTTGGCTGTCTCAGCCCAGGACTGCCGCAGCGCTCCCCACCGCCTCCCTGGGGCGTGGCAGGGGGCGTCACTGTCTCTGCGAATGGAGAGTGGCAGGGCCAGCGCTGAAACAAACCATCCCAAACCCTTTTCTACCTGGTGCTGGGCTGGGAAGATGCTGGAGGCCCAGGAGACACTTCCCTCACCAGCATGTGATCTCCCCAAACTTTAGATCTCCCCAAACTCCTCATGCTCCCAGTGCTGAGGCTTCCCTGAATAATGCACCAGGGAAAGTCCAGGCGGGAGGATTGGATTCTGGCCCCGGGGGGGCCTCGGCACAGTGCAGTGACTGATCTCTCTGAGCCTCCTCTACTTGGTCCACCTCTAGAATGGTGACAGACTCTCAGAGGAAAGGGACTGCAGGGCTGCCTGAGTCCATCTCCTACCCAAAGCAGGAATCCCCCCTTGAGACTGACCATTCAACTTTGGTTTAGCTCCTTTCAGTGTCAGGGATCTCACTAGCTCACCAGGCAGCTCATCTCTCTCCTGGACACTTTCAGTTATTACAAAGTGCCTTTTTTTTGAGACAGAGTCTCGCTCTGTCACCTGGGTGAGAGTGCAGTGGCATCATCATAGATCACAGCAACCTCAAATTCCTGGGCTCAAGCAGTCCTGCCTCAGCCTCGGGTAGCTGGGCCTACAGGCATGCACATCACCACGTGTAGCTAATTTTTCTATTTTAGTAGAGTCTTGTTCTTTAGTAGAGTCTTGTTCTTTAGTAGGGTCTTGTTCTTGCTCAGGCTGGTCTGAAACTCCTGGCCTCAAGTGATCCTCCGGCATCAGCCTCCCAGAGTACTAGGATTACAGGCGTGAGCCACCACGCCCAGCCTACAAAGTATTTTTTTAGGTGAGATAAATAACAAGAACAGCAGCTACTGCATATTAGTCCCAGGCATGACCCTAAGCACTTTACGTGGCGTAATTCCCTTGAAGCCTCAAACAACCCTGCTGGTAGGTGTCGCTCCCGTGCAGGTCGGGAACCTGAGGTACAGGGAGGGCAAGCAGCTTGCTGAGGTCACGTAGTGAGGAAGCAGCGACCCCCTGGAACTTCACCCCACTGGTTCTTGCTCTGCTCTCTGGGTCTCACTGAACTGGGGCCCTTTGTTCTTCCAAGTGGCAGCTTTCGCTCGAGGCTGGTAGCCAGTGAGCTGACGAGGGTGGAGACGACACCTGGAGATGTTCTGCAGCCATGTTTCCGGGGCCACCCCAGGAGGCCAGAAGCTGCAGACGCTCAGTGAGGCCCAGAGGGTCGATGGACAGTGACTGAGGGCACCGGTGCAGGAGTCAGGATGCTGTGCTCCCCCACAGTCCAGCATGGGGGACCCTGGTAGAGTCCCCTCCCCTGGACCTTTGCCCCTTCACCGGCAAAATCAGAGGATTAGACTGAATGGTCCCTTTCTGCTTGGACTTTGGGAATTCCATTCTAAGTTTTGGGGCGGGGGGTGGGGGGTTCCCTCAGGGGTTAACCTCTGCCCGAGGAGGCCCTCACCCCACAGCCAGGCCTCTACCTCCTCAACCCTGCCCTGCTTCCCACAGTGACGGGGTTGAAACATCTCCGAACAGAAACACCACAACCTTCAAACCTGGGGAAAGGCAGAGGGGACATTCCTGAGAGGTGGGGAATGGCCTGATCCCCAGGCTGCACTTGGCTCTGACATGAGTTGTCATTCCCAGGACAGCCCCAGGGCTCATGCTTTTCTCTCCATGTATAAGACCCCAAGAGTCAGGTGGGGTCTGTCAGGACCCAGGGCTCAGGCCAGGGTGCCCCTGCAGGCTGTACACAGTCACAGGGAGCTGGCTGTCCCCATTTGTACACTTAAGGGTAGGGCAGCCACCAGGCACATGTTGTGGCCACAGGTTCCAAAAGAACTGCTGTGAGTCCTGGCCCAGCTCCCTAGCCCCTGCCCTCCTGGAGCCTGAAACTCACACTGATGGATCCAATGCCAGGGGTCCCAATTGTAGCTGCACCTCAATGGCATCAGATGTCTGGGTCTCACCCGAGACCTACCGAAGCCCCTGGGGATGGCCGAGGACTGCAAGCTTAACAAGATCGCCAGGTCAATCCTGACCCCAGCAACCTCATGCTGGGCATGTGACAACCAGAGTTAGACTTCAGAGGCAGAGATGCTGTTACTGTAAGGCCCTGGCCTCCACGTGAATTAGACCTCAGAGCTGGCATGGCCCTTGGTATGCAGAGACTAGGGGCATACAGGGCTGAGGGGGGATCAGGGGTGACAAGGAGACAGTAGAGTGAGAGAGAGGACAGGAAATATTCAGCAGGGAAGAGGGCCGTGACAGCAGTAAGCCCTGTGTGGGTAGGAGGAGACACTCAGGTGCTCAAGACAGGTAAGCCCCCTAGGAGAGTGGGGTCAGAGAGGAAGAGAACAAAGAAACCTCCTGTGGCCCAGGCACTGCCACCAACCACCCCCAATTCCCCAGGCAATGTGCAGGTGACTTAGCCCTGGTCAGAATCTGCAGGCCTGGCCTGGCCTGATCTGATGGGCGTCTCTCTTGGTGGCAGGTCCTTGGGCAAGGGCCAGGTTTCATGCCACATGGTGGAGTAGGGCTCTCTCAATGGAAGCAAGGCCCAACCTGTAGGAAAGAAGGGAAGCAAAGTGACACCTACCTGAGCTGCCAGCGCTCTCAGAAGCACTCCTGGACATCTTAGGCTGGCCGTGTTTGCCGCTGGCCCGCCCAGAGCCCGGTGGCGGGGGGCCCGAGGGAGCAGGGGCGCCGTCTCCCCTGATGGTGGTGAGGTCCTGCATGCTGAAGCTCCGGAGTCTCTCCGATAAGGCACCCTGTCCCTGGATACAACACAGGAGGGGACACATGTCAGAGGCCTGACCCACGGGTTCATGGATGCGCATTGGTGAAGGGCAGACTCGACGAAGGCCAAGAGGGAGCTCTGATGCTCAGCAGGTGGAAATCAGGACCTGGATCAACTCTACAGAGGGGCAGGTGCCCAGGTACACTTGCTGGGAACACCGAGAGAGTCAAACCCGCATTTTCCAGGGGCTCCTCTTGGCCTCAGCAGTTGCTCCTTTGGCTCCAGGCTCCTTTTTTTCCTCCAGACACCCCAGTGATTGAGCCTTGGATCCAGGCCAAGGCCATGACTACCGCCTGCAGGTCCTACTCTCCACAGGCCGTTTCCTGCTTCTCTTGCTCTACATTAAATAAAAATCCATATATGTCTCCATTTTTCTCAGTTCTCAGTACGCAAGAATTTGATCAAAAAATCAAAACCTAATATTCTATGTGTTTGTCCTTATTCTTTTCAAAAGAAATAAAATACAGAGAGCATTTCTCCAGCTATATGACAACAGTCATTTCTTTTATCTGTACAGCATGTTACTGTTTATAAGGCGCTTTTTACTTCCACTGGCGCATTAGAACTTCATAAAATACCCAAAAGGTAATGAATCAGGAAGGGGAAAAAGTGATATTTTAAAAACCCCTGCTGACTGTAACCATTTCATCTCAAAGTGAGCCACGGAATTAATCTCAGGGTGGGGGGGGGAATGTTCTTTTGTTTAGGAAAGCAAGATAAATCCATTATACTTATGAAAGGAAGGTCCTCCGCTGTCTGGATGAGAGAATGTGCTGGGGAGTGAAATTGATCACAGTGAAGGCTCGGGGATGGTGGCACTGCTTTGGATGTGCCTCAGGAGCTAGCTGGAGAGAGAGAGACTCGAGTTTGGGGGGAAAAGGAAACCTGAGAGTGAGTCAGGGGCTGGTAAGAGACTGGGGTTACAGAAAATTAGGTTGGGATTTGGAGCAAGAAGTGACAGGCAAGTAACTACCATGCAAATCATCTTCAGAAATACTGGAGGGCGTGCAGACTACCCTCAGGTACGTGGGACTGCAGGGGGTGGAAGAGGTATTTTATTTGGATAATGAAGGAGTGAGTGGTCCCAGAGGTCTGGAGGATTTGGGGACAATAAGGTGCAATAGATACAACAGAACCAACAAATCAGCACAAAAATCGATGCGAGCAGCTGACCAGAGGACTCGGGGCTGGTGAGATTCATGAAACAAACAAGGGCCAACACAGCTGAGTAAGAGGTTTTCAGAGATGGGAGAAGGGTTTGGGGGATGTTTTTCATTTCACTTAATTAAAAAAAAATAATGTAAATGGACTAAGAAAATACAGCAATTTACCGATGTGAAAGATCCATATAGGATAAAGGCAAAGACAAAATGAGTCAGAGGGAAGGAGGAACAAAAGGGGCTTGCAGACAGGTTTGAAGAAATGCCAGAATTAAACAGAGATCCACTGAAATATGAAATAGGTAAGTTCCTAACCTATGAAAGATATAAAGACCGTGTCTCCAGGAAACTGACAACAATAACCCAAAGAAAATGATTTAGATGATCAAATATATATAGTTAGAATTATAAATCTAGACAAAGGAGTGTTTGGAGGACACTATGTGAAAAAAAAGACAGAAATCACCCTGGTTGCCTCAGACGCTGCTGTAGAACGATGGTGGGCAAGGGTCTAAGGCCTCATGTTCTAGACATTAACAGCTGAGAGGTCTTTGCCAAGAAAATGAGGGCTGAGCCAGCCACCCATTATATCCCCTTCAAATCTAAATCTAATGGCCGGGGGGTGGTGGCTCACACCTGTAATCCTAGCACTCTGGGAGGCCGAGGCGAGAGGATCGCTCAAGGTCAGGAGTTCAAAACCAGCCTGAGTGAGACCTCGTCTCTACCAAAAGGTGCTGAGAGGAGGAAGGATTAATTGACCACTAATAAAATATATACGGCACAAAAAAAATTAGCCGGGCATGGTGGGCACATGCTGCTGGTCCCAGCTACTTGGGAGGCTGAGGCAGAAGAGACTCGCTTGAGCCAGGGGTTTGAGGTTGCTCGTGAGCCAGGCTGATGCCATGGCACTCTAGCCCAGCCGGCAACAGAGTGAGACTCTGTCTCAAAAAATAAATAACTAAATCTAATAACCAATGATCTGTGATTATTTTACTTAGAAACATTTTAGATGACATCTAGAATAAATTTGTGACTAAAGAAAAATTGAATCTGAAAAGAATAAGAAAACATTGATAATTATTATATAACTGAGTAATTCAATGTTAATTTGGGGGGGGCAGGGGGAGACAGGGTCTCACTCTGTTGCCAGGATGGAGTGCAGTGTGGGTGTGATGCTCACTGCAACTCATGCTCCCTGCGCTCAGCAATCCTCCTGCCTCATGCGCCTCCATGTAGCTGGGACTACAGGTGAACATACTGGGTGCGGATAATTTTCTATTTTTGTAGAGATGGGGTCTTGTCTTGAACTTCTGACCTCAAGCATCCTCCTGCCTTGGCCTCCCAGAACACTAGGATTTGGATGACGCCCTTGCACCGGCCTCAATCGTTAGGTTAATGTGGAGGCAAGCCCACCAGCTCACTGATTTATTCTTTATCTTTCTATTTCTTCATTTATCTGTTCAACAATTATTTATCAAGTACTTTGTATGGCAAGATACTGAACTAGGTGTTATTAGGAAACACCGTAATACAGCTTGATTTCTCACAAAATGTAAAAAGACAAATGTACAAATAACAACACAGAGGTGCCATACCAGAAGCTATGGAAAGCCAAGATTAAGAACAATAGTTCTTGAGTCAGACCTGGATTCAAATCCCAACCCTATTATCTAACAGCTGGGTGATTTTAATCTCTCTGCACCTCAATACCTTCATCTGCAGAAAGCATACATCTGGCAGGACGGTGGGGAGGATTCAATGAGATATGCCCCTGAGATATGCATTACAGAGCCCAATTACAGAGCATAGTTAGGTGTTCAGAAACATCACTGAGGATGATGATGGCGTTTTTGTTGCTGCTGTCTGAGATACAGAAGTTGCTGCTAAAATCAGAGATGGAAAAGATCACTTCTGACCAAAAGGACCAGGAGGGGCTTGCTTCATGACCCCAAACTCAAATAAAAGGGACTAATTCCATCGACGCGTTCTGCTGCTTCTGGCAAACACTTAGCAACTTATCCGGCAGAAAGCAGCAGGCATCACACATGTTCATTTTACCAAAGTGCTCAGTTCCACTCCCAGAAGCCAGCCAGCCAGTCTAGCTCCAATATCACTGGATCACGAAGAATGGAATGGCAGAGGTTAGGAAAGAGAAGGAGATAATAATAGCTCAGTATCAACCCACTCCAGTGTCAGAGGAAATTACAGTGGCATGACAGACACAAGACTCTTGAAAACAAATAAGCCCTTACCTAGCAAAACAAGCTGAGATGGTTAAAATCAATATGTGTCTCTCGTGTGTAAACCTCTCAGCCCTGCGCAGTCTCCGCTCAAAATCTCATTCCCACTCACTTCCCACAAACCCCGTTCTTCCCTGCCGCTTCAGCTCTGCTCTGGAGAACCTGTGTTTGTTATTCTGGGCCACTGTCTTCTGGCAACAACCAAGAGTTGTTCATTGATATTCTGCAATTTGGGTTCCCTACTTTGGGAAAATAAATTTGAATTCTCTAAGTTTGGAAAAGCTTAATATCATATTCCCCATAATTCAATCAGCCATATTGCCACACTCTGGGAAGTCCTGCAGTGTTTCAGGTTGTTTAACTCGGTGTATCCCAAGTTGTGACCACGTTGGGATGTGCTGTTAGCCGACCATCAAAAGTCATTCCCAACCCCATTCTTGTTTTTGTTTTTGTTTTTTTTGACAGAGTTCACTCTGTTGCCTGGCTGAAGTGCCATGGCGTCAGCAAGCTCACAGCACCTCCAACTCCTGGCTCAAGCAATCCTTCTTCATCAGCTTCCAAGTAGCTGGGACTACAGGCATGCGCCACCTGCCCGGCTAATTTATATATATATATATTTTTTTTTTTCAAGTTGGCAATTAATTTCTTCTATTTATAGTAGAGAGGGTCTTGCCTTGTTCAGGCTGGTTTTGAACTCCTGACCTTGAGCAATCTGCCCACCTCGGCTCCCAGAGTGCTAGGATACAGGTGTGAGCCACCGCCGGCCCCCAACCCCGTTCTTAACTTGGGTGGAAAAACAGATTTCCAAACCTCCTTTGTAGCTATGGATGGCTTATGATACAGTTTGGCCAGCAGGGTGTAAGGGAAATCTGCTCAGGGATTTCCGGGAAAGATTTTCTCTCCTGATATGTGGTGGGAGAAAGTCCTGACCCTGATACTGCTTTTGCTTTTTTGAGTGTGGCTTACATGCCTGGAACTCTCATCTTGGACTAGAAGAATCACAGAGTCATCTACCCAGAGCCTTGACATTACTAAGTCACTGGAATAATCACAGCACCTAGCTACTCCTAGACGTCTTATAAATGATTTTATTAATTCCAAGACACATATTTTTTTATCTCTGAAATTGGGGTAGGTCTTACAATTGCTGCTGTCCTAGTATCATTGTCACTGCCTTACCATGATTATACTTGTTATTTTCCATGACATGACTGAACAACTGAAACCCTGGTTTTATTAACAAACTATTTAAAAACCACTTTAGGAAGTATATGAGTCCTGGCTGTCTAAAACACATTTCACAGACACCTTCTGGTATGATCAAGAAAGTGGCAGCATCAGGCTGGGCCAGGTGGCTCATGCCTGTAATCTTAGCACTCTGGGAGGATCGCTTGAGCTCAGGAGTTTGAGACCAGTCTGAGCAAGAGCGAGACCTCATCTCTACTAAAAACAGAAAAAAAAAAATAGCTGGGCATGGTAGTGAGAGCCTATAGTCCCAGCTGCCTGGGAGGCTGAGGCAAGAGGATCACTTGAGCCCAAGAGTTGCAATGAACTACGATGATGCCATTGCATCCTAC